GTGAGCACTGGTAGAAATGGATTTGGATATTATAGAATGACTACAATTAATTTTGTAACCTATATCACGTTACCAGTTATAAGATAAAATGCTGTTCATCAGAGTCTAAAATGGCAATTTTCATTAATTCTTGATCCAAATAGCAGTATTATTTGCGGAGTAAAAATAATTATGTTTGCATTTACTCAGAACACAATATTTATTGAGGAGCTAAACAATTTGTTTTGCGAATATTTGTTATGAAATTTTTTTAATCCGACACTCCAATATATTTTTTAAAAAATAGAAAAATTACAAACAAATCGGTACAATTAGGCGCATAAAAAGCAGTCATTAAATGTATTGTGAATTATACATTAAAATACAAAAAAACTTAATGATATTAAAAGCTTAGTCGAAATTTACTTATACTACTTTTTTTTTAGTACTTTTTCATGTAATTTATTGAAATGGGGGAAATTGGTTGAAATAGCAGTTGAAGTATTTTAAGTGAAATGACATGAGAGGCGATTAAAACGTAATTATTTGAAATTAAAACTAGAACAATTAAAAATATATGTTAATCAAGTAAGGCAGTGCTAAGTTCGGGTGTAACCGAAGATTTTATACTCTCGCTAGGTAAAGTGATATAAGGGATTTTCGTATATATTTAAATTAAAAGTAGGAAATATTGCATTCCTTATTTGGAATTAGAGGCAAGAAGATACACTGTTATTAAAAAATATTCTTTCTGAATTTCATTAAGATTTCTTGCATATTAACCGATAGAAGCGGTATAAAGTCAACTGGAAGTTCGCAGATATTTATATTAGGGATGTGGGGGCTAAGGAAGGACCCACTTTTATCCAATTTTAGAACGTGGGCATGCTGTTGTCACAAAAATACTCCCCACCAATTGCAACCCAGTACTCGATTTGAAAGATATGTACATTAATTAAGGGGCGTTGCCACACCCACTTTTAAAAAAAGTTTTCCCAACAGCTGTGCCTTGTTACTGCGATCCCCTGCACCGAATTATCGTATCATGTATCTATATTAAGTCCTTACTTGTGGCACTTTTTTAGTTTTCGTTTAATGGCTTTTGTGGGCGTGGCAGTGGTTCGATTACGCCCATATGCAATACTGACTCCGGGTTATTTATATATATATATATTTATATTAACTCGATTAGTTTTAGGTGTTACAAACATCCGTTAGGTGAACAAAACCATTTTACTCTGTAGTAACATGTTGCCAGAGTATAAAAATATTTAAAGTCGAAGTAAATACTTTTTTTCTTGAACGATTGAACGATAGTTCATTAAAAGTTATTGGGGTTTAAGCAATGCTTCACTTACAAAAATACATTTTTCTTTCGCTGCAATGTAAATTCATGTTTTAAATTCGTCTATATTTCAAAAACAATTATAATGAATATATTTTACCATATTCTAATATATTCGCCTAAATTAATACATTTTTGGAAAAACCGACACCAAAAGTCATAAATTGTCTCGGTAAATATAAAATCTAAACATTTTATTTACTAAAACGCTTCTGTATTCCAATTCTCTCGAAAAATTCTTTAATTTAGAAATAGTATTTGCAAAGCAGCCAATATCAAAAAGCAGTAAAATAATATTAAGATTTAAACATCAATATCAATAAATATAATAGCAATAAATAATAGCCAAATATACACATACAAACAAACAAATGATATTTGAATGGAGCATGAAAGCGTCTTTTGAAACCTATTATTTACACTAGTCCAATACATGTGTATATTTAAAATATGAATTTACAGACAAACTAATACTTTACTTTGAAATATGAATTTAAAATAGCTAACATAGAAGGCACTTTTATGATTCTGTCATTTAAGTACATATTTGCAGCCATAAAAGAATTCAAAACCAGAAAAGCAAACTATATACATTAATTTAGATACCCTCTAAAAGTTATAACTTTGCGAAAATGTTCAAGATACTTTTTGTAGAATATCTTTTTGGAATATTTCAATAAGAAAATCAAAGGTTGGCAGTTTCAGTTTTAGACCATACACGAAACGTTTAAGCATAAGTTCCAAATAAAATAAAATAAAAAATGTCAATAATTCATAATCTGTATTAAACTAAAATGAATTAAGATAAAATAGGTGAAATATTAAAATATATGTAATAAATATTTCTTAACTGGTACCTCTCAGGATTGCAAATAATGCATTAAAAAATAATTGAATTAACATTTGAATAACATTTTTTTTATTTTGTAATTCCAAAAACCGGATTGAACAATAAAAAACAAGAAACTTAATCCATACATAAAAACATTTGACCAATACAATAAGGAAAAACTATGATTTTTCAGTTGTCCGGATTTCACTATCCGCTACTGTATATAGAATTAAAAAAATAAATTGTTTTGGAATCAACATTTTTTCGCGTTTGCTTACTTCGTGTTCAACTATTTTAAACTAGAGTTCGCACAAAGCCATCATCTTCAATACCTTAGAGCACTGGTCGGCAAACTTACACATTCAAATAAAAAAAACTTTTAATTTTTATCTCAAACATATTGGCTTAAAAATCTAATTTTTAAGCCCAACATCGGAATTAAAGAATAAAAATTACATTCTTAATTCAAGATGTTTAGATAAAAATATCTAAAATCTAATTTTTGTTTAAAAAATTTTGAATTAAAAAATTCACAACGCTGCTCTCTTTTTATCTTATATTTTCCATTCAACCTTTTATTAGATTACTGCAATTTATCTGGAATTTTTTACCTGTCAGTTTTGCAGATAGGTGGCAATATTCTGAATTTATGTTTTTCCTTTGTGTCAAACCACTTGAAATATTATTCGAATTTCTCATTATTCGCAGAGGTTTTTACTGAATATGCTATATTTGCTATATTTGTGAGATTATGTTGGGGGAAAAATATAACAGATAAACAGATATGGTATGCTTTCATTCCTACCAGTTTTCAGGTGTTTTAATTTCATCTCTTTTTCATCCAAAGCTACTGTCTAAGCGATTAATGAGGCCGAACTCTTAAAGTAATTTAAATTACCTCAACTTCAAGTATTTAAATGAAGAGCCATATTTACGAACGTATTGATTTACCGAGACAATAATTGCCAAAATTCCCGCCTCTCTATTTATAGACGAAATGCTTTGTAAATTAAGCCGTACACTGGTTTCCACCTACCAAAGCATTGGGTGGCCTCTTAGACGCTAAAATTAGCGTTATTATTAACCACCTTTGCAGAGGACTATAGCAATGCACACTGAGAAGGAAAACCAGCTCAAAATGTCGGTTTAATGATCAGCCTGTTAATCACTTATTTTCATGCCCCATTTACTCCAAACATATTTCTCAACGTGTACTTATATAATATAACAAAAATAACTGCAGCAGCGCTAAATTATAAATAAACTCATAGATTTAAGCCAAAAATGTCATAAAATCATAGAAAGTTGAGTTTCGATTAAAATAAAAGTATACTTCTACATATTAATATATAAAGTTACATATTTTATAACAAGTATCAGGTTACGTAAGCGTCGTATTGATTAATGTATGACATAATTAAATGAAGGATCTAGCTTAAATATTACAGCCTTCAGAGTGGGCGGTAAAAACGTGCAGAGAGGTCAATATTAATAAAAAATCAGAAGAAACATTTTTCTGAAATTAAAAACATGTCAGATATAAATTATTAGTGATAAAATCCATTGAGCAAACAAATTTTAGAAAATATAGAGAATTTTTCAAATATAAATTAACTAATTTTCGGTTATAATTTTTTTTAATTTGAAATCAGCTTTATCCTAAGTAAATGTTTGATATAATGCTACAGCAACAATCAACTATTGCGTAATTACAATAATTTTTTGGAGATACCAGAGCTAATAGTATTAAATCTATTTTGCGATAAAATAAAAATATTCTATGAAATGTAGAAAAAGTCAAGAATAATCTTTAGCAGATGTTTTTAAAAATTTCAATGATTTTTTTTTTTATTTATATGCATTAAACAGAAAAGCTATTTATCGCATGCGATAAAATGATAGTAACGTCTATGCAATTGTTCAAATGTCGCATGCGATAAAAAAATTTTCTTTGCAATAACACAGTAGCAATAGCTTACTGGCATTTCTTCTTGCTTTCCTTTTATTGTGGCATTTATTTAGACATTGAAAATATATATATATATATGAAACTGGTTGGTTAAAGAGTAAGACAATATGGTAGCTGATCTTGCTGAATTTCAATTGAAAGAAAATTTATTAAAGAAATGAAACAAATATTTAATATTAAACAAAATATTAAAATTAATATAAAATTTATTATTAAATATTTTTTTATATTTAAAAATATTTGCGGATACAAAATATTAAAAAAATGGCGAAACGTTAAGAAACATTTTTTATATCGCAAATCGCTGTTAAATCGACACAATACTCACATAAGAGCACTGTTAAAAAAAGTGACTATAAATTATACGTGACCTGGCTTTGGAAATAGCGCAAATCATCAGTTAGCATTCTACGTTTCGTTCCGTATCCATAACAATGCGAAAATAGAAAAAACAAAAACGAAAAAAAAACAGCAAAAAATTGGAAAATGGAAACCTCATTCCATGTTTCCGCCCACAATACGCTTCTAAGCACACGACGCGCTTGAAGCTTAAATATTTGGCTGTTTCCATTTTCCACCACAAATTAAAAGGATTTTCACAGCTTTCGGCAACGGCACTCTGGAGTGCTATCGCGCTACCTTCGCTTGCTTTATTTGCCTCCTTCACTCACACCAACGCATCAACATCACATGTGACACATCACACCTGTGCCTATTAGGCCACCACCGCGTATGCGTAACATGCAATTAAATAAAAGCCCAAAAACCCAAATCAAATGCAATCAGATGTGTTTAAGAGCACAAACACACATAGGCATTTGTTTATCCATGTAAGAATGTAATTGTGTTGGTGTGATTGTGTGTATTTTACTTACCGTAGCATGGTTGGTTCGGTTCGCTGTATTGTTTTGGTTGTTCCTGCATTGATTGTTGTTGTAATTGACGGCACTGTGATTTCGATTTTTTCATCGCATTGTGTTGTTGTTGCTGTTCATCCAAATCATCAACGCTGCTGCTACAAGCGCTGCGCCCACGTACACGAAACGATACATTGAATTGAAATCGATTCGTTGTTTTCTTTGTCGTTGTTGCTGTTGTAGTCAATGTTGCGGCGGGATTTGGTACCAAAGCGGTAGTAAAAGTTTCCAGCTCACTGCACAATTTTCCACCACCACCACCACCGGCACCGCTGCCACCTGCCACAATCGGTGCGACACTGCCAAAAATCATGGCACGTTCATTCTGCATGCCCACATAGAGCGTGCGTGTTATTAGCATATAAGCGAAGCTGAGTATTAGCAATGGCAATACCAATAAAACGAGATCCAGAAAAATGTTGTAGGAGCGCTCGTAGACGACGCTGTCTGCGGGCCATTGTTCACGGCATTTGCGTAGACCTGCAAGTATCACAACAAAAGAAAAGTAGAAATCAATAGGAAACGTTAACTTCGACTGCTCTGCAGCTATATACCCTTCACAATTGCTTTTATTATAGCATAAAATGTTATAAAAATATTTTTTCAGATAGTTTGTTTGGCAGCTATATGCTATAGAGGTCCGATCTGTGGGCGTGTGTAAAATTTCAGATCGATAACACCCAAACTGTGCAACTAGTTCGCGCATATACATACTGATTTATATACACATGGTACTTTATAGTATCTTAGACTTTTTCTTCGGGGTGTTACAAACTGCGTGACAAATTTAATATACCCTGTTCAAGGTATAAAATTGGCAAATACATAAAATTTATACAGGGAGTGAAAATAAATTTGAGTAAGCACAAGGAATAAATAAATTGACGACGAAATACTTCAAATAACAAAGTTGTTATTCCATATTATTGTGTTATTTGCGCTGTACTGGAATCTAAGCTGTGCGCCAGAAATGTAAATACAACAAATAATGTCCTTGATGTCTTACAGTGGAGGATTGTAGTAGGGAAATCCGCCATTGCTAGCAATCAGCCGCTTTAGTCGCTTGGCATTTTGATCGTTAAATTTTCTTAAGTCACTTAAATAGCAATATTACAAAATGGCAAAATATGTGTAAAGTCATAAAATTAGAGGCCGTCGGCAGCGCGCCTTTTCGTCTTCTATATATAATATAATATTAAAAAGTTACTCATACGCCATGGTGGGTGCACACAAACAGCTCGCATTTGAGCACCAGCTTTGTAGGCAAATAACATGTGTACGCGTACAGCTCTTTCCACTGCCACTCTCCCTTACACACTCTCCCACAGTGTTCTCTGTTTACCTTCTCTCATCTTATTTCTGCTTAAAATTATGTAATAAACATTTACATACCCTGGCTGGTCGGCATCAATTGACTAAATATCGCTATGGGCGTCATGCAAATAAGACTGCATACCCAAATGGAGCCGATAATGCGATAGGCATGATTGAGCGTTTGCCATGCGCGCGATCTAAGCGGATGACAGATGGCATAGTAGCGTTCGCAGGATATGGCGACGAGCGTCCATGAGGAGACAGCCACGGAAATCGCTATAAATAAAGAGAGGCATAAAATCTTTCATGAAATGTAGGAATTAATGAAGAAATGATGTTGAATTTAATTATGGAGATATTTATATGCTGTTATAAAAATCATGATAAGTGCTATCTATATTTGAGCAGTCTGTTAACATGCTTTTTTATGTATACATACTGAGGGTATGAAGAAGTTTATTATTCCTTAAAGGGACTGCAGCGGCGCAATTATAGGCGTGTTAATATACAATGAATAAAGATAGGAGACATTGTGGGATATAAAGCGTGGATGGCTTTTATGGTTTTATTTTTGGCTTTTGGTTTTGGTTTTGGGTTTTCTACTTATTGACGGATTAATTATGGTTTGCCCGACAGCGTTTGGTGCAATCAGACCTGACAATTTATTTGTTTAATTAAAACTTATGAATTGTGATGACTAATTAGGAAAAGCTGTTGGTTATTGCAAGAAATATTTATAGTCTATCAGCGAAAGTGTGCCACTACATTAATATCTAATTTTGAGAATTTTATCAAAAAGTTCTATAATAGATTTATTAAAAATGTACATATTTTCAAATACCTTTCCTCAAACTGTCGAACAGGGTTTTTAGTCTAAAATTAAAAAAAGCGTTTTTGTGTCAAATTTCATTAGTTTATATATTCAAAAATATATTTCTGAAAGGAGCTTCCAAAATTAAATTTATTTTCAAAGATGTAGCGTCATGGCAGCTCAGCCAACTTAGTCTTAGTTAAGCTTTAAACACGTTTTCCGTTACGGTATACACAATATCTATAGTTCTAATTAGGAGATTTTCTTGAATCTTGGCATGAACATTCTTTACATATCCATCCCTCCATGGTATGATATCAGCTATTAATTTCTAATCACTAATGTTTTTTGAAAATTCGAAAAAGTTACAAAATTTGCGAAGAAATCTACCCTTTTTTTATTCATCATTTTATGAAAAAGAACATTTGCAAAGATTAAAAATCGGACATTGCTGTTTTTTCACAAAGATTCACATAGCACAAAAGTATAAATCAAGACGACGAGGATTCGGCTTCGTTCCCTTTCTAACCTAAGGAGTATAACTTTGTAAATTTTTTTTTGTTTTTATTTTAATATGTGTACTTTTAATACATGAATAAACAAATCATAAAAGAAAAAACATTCAAAAAATTCTTTATATATTTAAATTTATGTTTGTGAAAGCCTGAGAGAGAGAAACCCGATCAATTTTCCTTACTCCCTGAATAAATTTTCAAAGTTAGGTCGTGAGTGGTTATGAGCGCGCTAAATTGGCCAAACCTTATAAATAAAAAACAAAACTGCGTACTAAAGCTTTTTAAACCAGAAGACAGACTACTTAGACTTGAAGTGTTATTTGATAATTTTCTTAATACACCGAAGAAAAATCAAATGGGTCTTAAATCTTTATAAATAGTTGAACATGATGACTCACAATAAATTTAAAATTTCGCCAAAATCAGGTGTTCTAATTTTCAAATATTTGCAATTTTGTTTAGTGTAATCGGTTAAATCGGAAATAATTACATAACTATTCAAATTAAAATGTTTCTCATTTTAATTAATTGTGAAATGTACGTTAATGTACTTTATGCACTAAAATTAATTTGATTAATAAGATCAAATATGCCATTGAACATAAATTCATTCCAATACAATGCTAATTTGCTACTTTTGCTTAAGCTAGCTTTAAGTTGGTTATGTAACTAATTTCACAAATATTATATATGTATGGCTATGTTTACTCTTATGAATTCAAATTCTAAATTTACTTAAATAATTAAAGTTTAATAAACCACTAAAATTAACAGTCTAAACTAATTTAGACCGAATGAAGTGTTGAATCAAATATTAAAACAGAATTTTCTCAACAACACCCGAGGTTGTTTGCACACGTTCAACTGGCAAATGATTAGAAACTTCCACTAAATTAACATGATTGCCTAACTCTTGATTATACGCCATTATACTACCATATGCGAGTATATGTATGCTGTAGCTATATAGGTGTCTACACATGAATGCGTTTTGCCGTAATCACCACATAGAAATTCGAACTGTAACAGGAGTTGGGCCGGAAGAGTCTATACCAGAATTTCTTAAAAGGGGGCTTAATAGATTTTTACAGGTCAAATATCTTAGTGCTCTCAAATGCGTATCTCAAGTTGAAATCAAGTGTAATACTTGTATTTCTGCACAATTTTTGGAGCCTTATATGGAAAGAAGCCGATTATCGTGTGTATTAATTCTAAAATAATTTTAACCAATTCTCTAACTGTAAGTACTTACGTATATGTGTGTTATAAATATTATATATTTTAGTCTTACATATGTTATACTTATATACTTAGTATATTCTATTAAATTTCCACTAACACATCCCTTGTAGGGAAGCATTTTACTGACACGGTCACTATATTTACTGCATTTTAGTTGCGCAATAACCTACAGTCAGCAAATGCCACGTTCATAAGCACAGCAATTTTCCACTCAAAATTCTTCATTTGCATAACATGTATGTATACCTACTTGTATATAAATTGCGAAATGTTTAGATGCACTTGCAAGCCAAACAGCTCAGTCAAGAGTGGAGTTCACTATATGGTATATATGTAATTGTGTGTATTAGTTTAGTATTATATGGTAAATGTTTTACAAATATTTCTTGTGTATGACACTTGGCTCTGGTTATTAAAGTACGCTGATATGAATATGAGAATATGTTAGAAATATTTTGAATTTAATTAAGTGTATGCCATTTACTCAATAATAACAAGATTTTTGCTCTAACTGCTTTGAATTTAATAATTTTATTTAAGCTGCTGCAATTTCATAAAATAAATTATATTTAATAATTAAATTGTCTATTAAAAGTTAGTTTTTCTGACACGTTGCTACATAAATATTTTTATTTAATTTTTCATAATATTAACGATAGAATTTAATATTCTTTTTGAAAGTACTTTGAATAAATGTCTTCTATATCCAAATCCAAGTATTGCAGAAACTTTTTAAGGTCGACAGAGGTAAATTATGATTTTCTTCATCATATTTTACAAACAATCCTTAGCATGTCTTTAGAAACTTTGAACAATTTTATTCGATTGGCATTAAGTACACGTTTGAAAATAGAAATTAGTTTTTACAAAATGAAACGAAATAATCAAGCATTATTGGCACGTGGCTTTTGGTGAGTTTATTGACAATCACCAAAAAAAAAAAAGTTAAAAACGACAATACTAGTATAATGCAAATTTATTCCTTCCGCTTGTAGATACGAAAATTTGGGTTGACGATGTGCCTATAACAATATTTGCCAAAGAGTTTAAGGGTTTTATCATAGAATATCTAGGAAATAAGTTGTTTAGTACAAGTATACTCCAATCTCTTCTTTATTTGAGCTTATACGTTTGTTTTAACTATTATTTGTCTGAGTATTTAATATATATATACTTAATGTGTTTAAATAAAATAAAATTGTAAATAGATAAGCAGAACAAACAAGGAAAATAACATTTCTAAATTTTTTTTGTGACTGCCGTTTAAAGTAATTCCAAGTAAGCTGCATGTGCATTGTTATTGAAAAGTATTAAGAAACTTCTTTCAGGACTTGTGAACTTTTCAATAACTTGTTTGTTGTAAAAGGGAGTCACTACCTCCTTCTTGAAAACGACGCTGCAGGTATGTGTACGAAATTTTGTGAAAACCAATTCTGCGCACATGGCTTTTGTTGCCTTTTCGGTTAACCAGAAAATAAATATATTTCTGAACTTACACGTGCGTACTCGTGCAGTGCACAATGCATGAAAGTGGGAATGAAAATGTGTCAGCGGGATTCATACTACAAGAGAGAGCGAGTCCCTGCAAGGAAATGCAACGCAGCTTGGCAGGAAAAGGAGTAAAGATTTCAGTCAAAAAGGCGCCTCGGGCTTTAAATTAGGTATTCTTTTCCTATTCTACTACGATGCCCGTTTTCTTTGGCTCAAGAACAGCTATGTACTTAGATTGGTTCGGTTCTAACATAGCACTATATGAGTACATATTTATGAAGATCATAGGCAAAATGGTAGAAGAGGAATCGTAAAATTGTGCTTGCGGGGGTCAGTTTGGGATAAACGGTTCGAACACGATTGTCGCTCACATATTTCTGAGATAAATATCTGGTGTCTTTTGGATATTTGTAGCATATTACAGTAGATAAAAAAAGCTTTTCTTTAATGTAGCCGATCTCAATCACTACAAAATTTGTTCTGTGCTATCAAAAAAAATTTAATTTTTAAACGAAAAAATATCCTAATTAAAAGGAAACATATTTTAGGTGCTCGATACTATTTTGTTTGGATATTAAAGTAGATTAAATTTTACTTTAATTTTGGTCATATCGAGAACAATATAGCTGTAAAAATAAACAACTAATTATGGTCGAATTGGCCCTGAGCAATTAGTTTTGGTTCAAAAAAAAAAAATTTTTTTTGTTAGTCACCCTAAGTTTTTCCAAATCTCTGTCTAAAATTTATAACATTTTCGTATCATCGTGAGCAGTTGTAAATTCTTTTTTTGGGTAGTACTGAGGTAAAGTTTTATAAAACTTTATCCGGTTCTCCCAAGAGGGTGTGCATGCCGACAGAGAGAATAAGCACATATCAGCTTTACATAATAATAATTCTGAATGTTACATGTGTAGCGTTACCCAAGATTATTTGTATGTATGGCTGTACATATGCTCAGCGTTATTCGTGACCAACTCTAAGCCTAATAATGAGTTTTTGCGGCGACAAACAAACCAATTCACTTTTCCAGCTTTTTGCAGCTAAATGCCCGCCAAACCTGTGGTGAACCGGCTACAAGTCATCCTCTAAAGATACTTGTAGTTACATAATATGTATACATACTATATATGATGTATATGTTTATTAAGGTAAATGTATGTATACTAGGGTATCCGTTATGTCAAAAGTTGTTTTTTTTTCAGTTTTCACTTTAAAAA